ATTAACACACTTGTTAACTTTTGGCAGAACGCCCCCCCCCCAAAAAAAAAGGAATTTTAAGGCATTTCAAACAAAGCTATTAAATTTTATTGCTTTTTTGCACAACCTATTTGTGGAAACAGGGATTTTCTTCCATGTTTTATTTGAAAAAAATAAACAGAACAAAATTAAAAGTGTATTCTAATTTGCGATCAAAACTAAGAGAAGCAAGACCAGACATAAAGAAATTGGTCCATCTTAAACAGGCCCAAATTTCCCACTAAATTTTAGACATAAAGTATTATAACTGAATTTTGATAATTAAAATGGTAACCAATTTTTAAATCTAATATTTTTTATGTGTGCATATTTGATACAAATAGCCTATAACTTGTGCAAATCGCAATATATATATATTAAATATTTCCATTGAGAAATAATCATTGTAAAATGTAGTGGTGGTACTAAAGTTTTCCAGTTTTTGTTTAGATGGTACGCTTTAGTCAAAAGGTTGAGAACTGCTGCTTTAATGTATGTAGGCAAATTCAGTATTTTGAAAGGTACCCAGATATTTTCCATTATTACTTAATATGTTAAAAAGTTATGGAATTTTCAAGGGATGAGTGCACATATATATTTTTTATTTTGTGTATTTATATTGCAAATTTTCAAATTTATAAGCATTAGTTATAAGTAAGTAACTTTTTAAAAATATTTTATGATATAAAGTTGTACAATTTTCTGTATTGATTTTCAAATTCATATAAAATTACTTGTAACATGAATATGAGTTTTGTGTTTTTGAATCAGTTTGCATTATGTCTGCATAAATAAAGAATGATGTATAATTATGGAATATTTATGTTAGAATGATGTACATATATATGAAATAATAAAAGCAAGGAAAAGACAGAGCACTGTTGATGCATAGTTATGCTATATTGAAGAGGAAGTATTCTGATTGCGTTGATAGCGGCTGTTGATTCTGGCGTATTGGTTGTCATCACGGCTATAGCTCTTGTATTCATAATTTAAGTACCAATAACCAGTTTACACAAAATTCAATTTTGAAGCACCAATCTTGAATATGAAATCATCACTAAAAATTTGTCACATTATACCAAAATATTAATCTGAATCACGATACACTTTGCTGAAAAATTTTCACTAATCCTTTACACGTAACACGTATAATGGCACACTTGAAAGACACTTCATTTTCATAGCAGACGAAAAGCAAAGCGCAGGGAAATTCTGTCTACAGATGATTTGGCGCACTATGCAATGTCCTTGACCCACTGTTTAATTTAGAAGTGCATTAGAAATAAATCCAGGAGCTTTTTTCTCCCGTAGAGGATAAGTCCTGCCAGCTAATTAATAAAGCTGTGATATTTTAGCAGTCGTGAACATAAATGACGAAGCTTGGCATTAAAGTCCGGGCATTGCTGTGGCTGAGTGTTAAGGCTGCAGAATGATGACGCAGAAGGATTTTGCTTTTAGTTGCACATCTTTATTCAATTCCAATGGCAGATAATCTTTCTTTTAGATGAAATTCTCCTAATTACATATCAAATAGTGTTTCAAATTAAATACGAAGAAATCTAGGCTTTTGATGTCATAACTATTCTAACAAAGGGAAAAAAGATGAGAAGCGCAGCAGCAAAGATCTTACTAGCAGAGGGAGAGAGGAGCTTCTGATGCAAAATGGCACAAGTTCTCTATTTATAGAAGCGGTTAGCTCGAATGTTCTTGGAAAGTACTGGTCTAGTGTGAAGATCGTGAATTGCAGAAAGTTAATTAAAGGTTAAGACACAATAACACGCCAAATAAATACTAATTCAGAAGTCAAACAACAAAAATCAGCGTTATTTACAAAATTTTCACAGGACTAGTTTCGATGGAAAGTAAAAATTTTGTTGTTAAATTACTAGCATAGAAAAGCATCCTATTTTTTTAATATTTTACATATATATATGTATAATAAAAGCACAAGAAAAAGCCGGAGCAGTGTCAATGCGTGCTTAGATCCATATTGAAGAATTTTGATTGTATAGTATGCTAAGAGTGTTAACTTGGTAATATCTAAAGAACTTGGCAGTTGAGGCAGTTTTAATACAATTTTTATTTTTAATTGACATTTGTGGCCACAATCACTTGGCACTCTAGTCGTGCCTTTCCACAGAGAGCAAAGCTGAAGTGCATAGTTATGCAAGATGGAAGAACGCAAAGAGAAAAGTTTTGGTTTACAACAGTAGTTTCAATTCCCAATTATTACGTCATCAGAGTTGCACAGGCCATAGAATGATCTAGAAATGATGCAATCCAGAGAAATTATTGCAATTTTTAGAATAGAGAGGGAGAATTAATGTTTTAATGTTAATTTAAATTATAATTTTGATTCACATATTTTTTATCTTGCATATCCCCCCCTTCAAAGAGAAAAAGGCGTGGCAACAGAAAAGCCTTTTTAGAAGAAAGCATTACAGAATTAGCCAAACTAGGTAAATACAACAGTGAGAAAAAGTCACAAAATTTTGATATAAATAACTTTTTTTAAATAGCAAAATCTTGTGGGTATCATTTTAACAATAAATTCAAGTTGAAAGTTCTATTGAAAATTAAAAGTTTTCAAGGTCATCGTAAAAGTTGTCCCAATTTTTCTCAAGAAAGTTCACAGTCCTGTAAAATCTTTGCTTGAATATCATAATCATAATATTTTGCAGTCCTTAGCTTGAAAGTCTTAGCTATCAGTTTTTATACAGATGTTACCAATATAAAACAAAAATTTTCTTTTACAGATTCATGAAATTTGAATTAATTATTTATAAAATAAGTCACATTTTCTTTAAAATATATATATATAACACGGATTTTTGTTGTTTGACTTCTGAATTAACATCCATTAACATTACAAAATCGCAAAAATTTCAAAATTTTATAATGTAATACATTTTCATTTAAAATAATATACTATTATTATCTAAATTTTTAATTGACTTATTTTTTACAAACTGGAAGACCCCACAGCTTTCTCCTAGTACACACTTCCAGCTATTTAGGCTGTTACTTGGAAAGGCCTCCGTTCCTTTTATAAGGCAACTGGCCTTTGCGAACTGCATTACAACACCCCATTTAAAAAAAAATTAACCACACTCCATTATATTAAAAAAAATATAAATTATTATATTCGAAAAAAAAATGGGAGCCTTCAAAGTTTATCTAAATATATTATGATCCATACATTTTTTAATCAACCTAATTGTATACTACTTATTATTTCTATACTACTACTCAAAAACACTATTTTTTTTAATATATTTTCTACTAAAATTTTTCATATTATTTCATTCACTTAAAAATTCTCATCAACAATTCAAAATTTTCAACATAAATTCAACACATCGATACATTAATATCCTTCCCTATGAACAATTTAAATAGCTTAAAATTCGTTATTTAATTTGCTCACACATACTTATGAAAAATTAATGAACAAGAATTCCACACAGAATTATTTTTGTTAGGAGAGTCAACTATGGTCGAGAAACTGGCTTGTTTTTTTTTTCTTTATACCAACCACGATCCTCTGACCATAGTTTAGCATAAAAGTGCTACCACATACATATTTTTCACATAATTTTTAGAAAAACAAACATTTTCTTTCTTACATTATTTTTTAACAATTATTTTCTTTTTCTTTCTTCTTGTTGTAGGATAATATTCATTTTTAGTTTATATCACAATGTTTTGTATTGAATTTTAAAATTACTTTAAAACATGTCAATGTATTGTTAGTTACCTACGATGAGAAGAATGAATGCACATAATACAATTATGCATAAATTGTGTATCTTCTAAGATTTATATAAAAAAAAATGTTCCCTGCAAAAATTTTAAACATCTTCTATTCAAAAATTATTATGGAACCATATTCATTGAAAACAGTGCCTAATATTTGTGAGCTTATGTGTACTTACTGGCATCAAGAGACTTCATCAGCATCTTCATTCGATGAAAAGGACTTGACAAACTTTTCAATGGACATTTTGAAAAAAAATTGAGGACTTTCATGCTTGTAATTTATTTATTATTACTCTTCCATATAAAATTTAGTTATATGTTTATTTATAAATCACTGTAAAATTGTATAATTCAAAAACTTAATCTTCCATCTTAATTATATGAGAAAACATCATGATTTATGATAGGACCTAGCTAAAGCCTGTAAGCTATGTCCTGGATGTTTCTTCATGCCTTTCCTCATACTTCTTGCTTCAGAAATCTACTAATGCTTATCTCATCCGGCCTCTTGTTTTTGAGGGGGGGGATGTAAAATATAAAAAAATATTGCGGCTTTGCTCAATACGAACCAGCAACCTTTAATTAACTTTCTGTAATTCAGGATCTTCTCCCTAGACCAGTACTTTCCAGAACATTTTAGCTTATTATGTAACCGCTTCTATAAATAGAGAACTCTCGCCATTTTGTGTCAGAAGCTCCTCTCTCCCTCTGCTAGTAAGATCTATGCTGCTGCGCTTCTCATCTTTTTTCCTTTTGTTAGAATAGTTATGACATCAAAAGCCTAGATTTCATCATACTTAGTTTGAAACACTATTTGATATATAATTAGGAGAATTTCATCTAAAAGAAAGGTTATCTGCCATAGGAATTGAATAAAGATGTGCAATTAAAAGCAAAATCCTTCTGCGACATCTTTCTGCTGCCTTAACACTCAGCCACAGCAATGCCCGGACTTTGATGCCAAGCTTCGTCATTCATGTCCACGACTGCTAAAATATCATATATATGTATATACACAGACACCTGTGTAATAGATCTATTTTAAACTATATTTAACAATAATGCAAGCATATTTAATATGTACTTAATAATAATATATATGGAATTTCAAAAAATAAGTTGTTAATAATTGTAAGGATTTAATTTTTTAGAGAAAGCTAAAATTTTTAACTAAGCATTTTTTTTTTTTAAGTTCTTCTTTTCTCATCCTGAATATATAGAACATTATGCAATGTCTGCATTGCATAGAACCTGAAGAACGGCAAGCTGTTCTAGTTCCACTGCTCATTGGCTTCCAAACATATGAAAAGTATGTTGCAAAAGGTGGAAACATGGTTGTGTGTTTGCAAGGATCGTTGCTTGTACAAGCTATACTTAATTTTCAGAAGCCGATAAAAGTAAGTAACTATTAGGTTGGATAGCATTATGTTCATTTATTTCTTTTTCTGTCAATCTTATAATTTTTTTCTTTTGAGATTTGACAATTGACACTTTTAGTTTGCTGTAGAAACAAATACCATGTATTTTTGTTTACAACTGTTAGTTTATGGCCAGTTTTAACATGGGTTGCAAAAGTAAACATTTTCGGCTTATTTTACTTTTTTATTTTCATAAAGGCAAGAAAGCAGCTGAGGCTTACAAAGTGATATATCAAGTTTATGGTCATTGATTAACAAAGTGCATGTGTCAGAATTGGTTTAAAAGTTTTATTTCTGCAGATTTTTCACTTGAAGAGACCAGTATTCTGTCTGACCTTCTGAAGTTGATGATGACAAAATTGAATCAAATCATCATATAACTAATAATTAAGCAATTGCATCAGGTAATTTTTCTGGGACTATCTATAATTTCTACATTTGGATGAAGACTACATAGCAACAAAATGTTTTTTATCATTTTTCCCTTGATAAATAGTTAGACTGATGTCTTTATGTGTTAGTACCGTAGTCACATGCAATGAATTTTTAGACATTTTTACAGAGACTGGTATTTCTCTTCTTCAATGTTTTATACTTCCTACAAAGCTTGTACTTTTGGATTTCAATGCCTCTGCAAGCTTCAGTGTTGCGAAAAAGTTATCTGCAGTGAAATTTCTACCTTTGTTTTCATATGGACTTAATAGTTGCAGTACTACATATTCAGAAAGAGAAACGTTGGATAGACTTTGTTTATCATTTCTAAGATAAGGGAATCCATTTATTAGATATTTTGAATCACTATCTGCAGCTAACCAGACTTGATTCCAAATTTATTCAAATTCCAGTTCAAGTCCGTTTGCACAATATATACCACATGCATATAAAATTGCTTCTACTGTTATATTCCATTCATTTTTATGAATCTGTTGATGAGCTTCATTTTCAGTGCATTTCTTTATGTGCTTCAGTATCCATTCATCTATGAAAAGTCTCCAGGCACTTGATGGACTGTTGTCTATAATATTGCATTTACCTTGTGGTGTTGGGTCCCCAACTTTCTTAAATATTTTACTTTGACTTTCTTCCTTTATTATTTGTTCCTAATTGTACTACATTCCAAACTATCCCATCTACGCTAATTCATTATTATCAACTTTGAATGTTACTGCTGATTTCTTTTTGGATTTCCTTGAGTGCATGCATCTTTTCTTAGAATTTTTTTATTTTCTTTTTTATCTGATAAATTATCATCATTATTGCGATGAGAAGATCCAGCGATTGTTAGGGCACTGCCAGAGTCATTATCACTTTCATTTTCTTTATCTGAGTTCCAATTTTCTTCATTAGTGGACAGAAGATTGCTGAACAGGCCTGAACGATGTTGTGACATCTTATCTATCCTTATACTAAATATACTAGAATAAAAGCAACTTCCAAAAGTCTTTCAAAATATTCATTGTAATTTTCCACTACATTTGAACTCTGTTGCTGTTTCGAACCTTGACTTGAAAACCACACTATTCCCCACCTGGTTCAGTCCCTTTGAGGAATTAGAGGATGAAGCAGATATACTTTACAGTTACTCCCGAGGAAATGCACCTGTTTTTCTTCATTTAGCCATAAACATTTCTTGCGGGTCAAATTAATCCGCTTCACGGTTCCAGGTATAAGTGTTAATAATCAGAAATTTATATATGTTACGCAGTTTCAAATTTGGTAAGTTATTGTTTACTTTAAATTATTAAAAGCCATAAAAGGAATTTGTTTTCCAATCAATACTTTTCTCATGGTGACAAATTAAACATCGGTTTGGGTCAAATTGACTCACTCTGCAGTTCTCTTGTTAAACATTTTGCAGCATTTTATGAACAATGTGGCTGTTGGGCTATGCACTTCCATTACCTTGAAAGAACCTCTTTTCATGAAGTCGTTCATTTATGGTTGAGAAAGACCAGAAATTATATGGCACTAAATCTGGGGTATATAGAAGGTATTTTGGTGTTATCAAACAGTGCTGCCAGTACAGCAACATGTGGCCAAATTGTTCTGAACCAAAAATCACTCTAAACAAATATGATAAATTTTCACTCTTATTGTTCCACACAAGTGAGTTTAGGGAAAAATCATATGTAGTAAAAAGCTAAATAAAAAAGGAAAACATTGCAGAATTTAAAGTCGTCACACAGTCTGGATTCATTGCTCTATGGAAATCCATAATAAATAGTATGTTCTTCATGTAGTCCCAGACCTTATTGCAAAGATATGCAAGATACTTCCGTTACCATAACTTGGTGATAACAGTCGTAGCCAAAGGCATTTTTTGCCGGTAACTTGTTTTTCATTTTAATCATTGTATTTGATCCAAAATCATTCTTAAAAATGAACAAATTGTATAAAAACTACTTCTAGTAGCTTCAGTGACAGTGCCATTGCAATGTGGCTTTTCAAAATAGAGCAGTAGTGCAATATATCTGATGGGCATCTGTGTATATAACTCAATAGTACTCAGTTGAAGAGAGGTTATTTAGACAAATATGTGGATGCCTGTAGCATTTGAGATAGGTTTTGCTTCTTTTCATTGAAGGGAAAATATATAATTCTATCTTTGATTAATAATCATCACATCTACAGAGCTGTTAAGGGAAAATGAGTTTTTTTTTTTTTTCCTTCTTTCTTTTAAATTTAGAAATGACATTTTTGGAGACATCCATTGCTGATACAACTTTGATGACATTTTGTCCTACTTGAAAGCATCCATCTGCTTGTTTGCATTCAAATGATGTCTCAAAACATTTTGCTGTTGGTATTTGCTGTAAATCATGATATTTTATTGAAAATTTATGGTACCATATTCCAACACCTATAATATATATAGTATATATTTTTCTGTCCAGGCACATTCCAACTATTTTTGAGTGAACTGTAGCTGGTATAATATACGTCCTTCTTTATGTAGATAACAAGGGGGAGTGGATAACACTACTCTGATGGCATCACTCCTCGTGGTGACTGGTGTGGTTATGTTTGTTAAGGTTGCATATTACTTATTGCGTATAGAATAAAATTTTTAATATAAATCTATGAGAATTTCTATTGCAATATATAACAACATTGCAGGCATAAGAGAAGTTATTTTAGGTTATTGTCCTCATTATGTGAAGATCTTGCTAGCAGCAAGAGTCTCTCTAGTTAAGAGTTTAGAAGCATTCTGAGTTCTTGTCTTGTCTAAAATAGTTTGCAAACTGAATTAGACATACCCTCTTAATTTTTTATTGTTTTTTACATCCTCTAATTCATTACAGCTGAAACAATATCAGAGAAGAAACAGGATCATTGGTCCGTCAGGCCACCCTGAAATCGAATGGTTTTGGTGACAGACAGAATACAGATCACTAAAATCCCTTGACACAGGTCATGAAATTATGATTCTTGTAATGTCAAATGGGGCCGTTAACTGAACGAATTATTGCTTCTGCAGTGTTAGAGCCTGTCGTCTCACACCTCATAACAGCTCGAACACTGCGAACTGTGGGTCCCTCACTCATGAATTTCTTATCTTTGTATGGTCCGCCCCAAAGGATTGCAAAATAGTGCTCTTTGCAGTTTTCTTCGTGCAATCATGTTGTTCCTAAATTAAAATTAAATGGGGAAAATGGATAAATGTATGAAATAAATTAATATCTAAGAAAGAAGATTATATTTCTGTACTTAGTATTGATATCTAGACTTATCCATTATACAGTACAAAGTCCGTAATCTGGACTTGTCGGGACTTCGGCAATTCCAGATTAAGGGTTTTTCCGGATTATAGATCATCAGTTTAAATCTGGTAAGATGGGATGCAGAAATTATACAATTAAAAATATGAAACTGTAATTTATGAAATAAAGAGCAATTATGATCTAAAGGGTATCAAAATTTACAAAAAAAAAAAAAAAAAAAAAAAAAAAAAAAAAGGCTTAATATTTATTTGTTTACTTTATTAAGCATTTCTTTCAATGTAAGTTGTTTAAGTTGCTTCGTTTTTTGTGCTAAACGCGCATACGCAAACATTAAACGTGCGTGCGTAAAGCATACAAAAAGAAAAGTTTGCGGCTTTGAAGTCCAGATTATAGATAATTCCGGATAATGAATGTCCGGACTTTGTACTGTATTAATTTCTGCCTTAAATGTATGTCATATAATCTCATAATAAATTGGACATTTTATTTGCTCATTTAGGTAGTGAAGAGTATTCTGAACATGAAACCAAACCAACTTGAGTTTTTAGCTTGCCATGTACAAAGTTGTCATATTCTACATTCATTTTTCATTTCTGCTTCTGTGGGTGAAAAAAACAAGGACAAATTAATTCATTTGTTAAAAGTAATACTTGCTTATATATAATTCAGTTTTGTTGTTATGGTGTGATTTAAATTTTAACTAAATTGTATTGAATAATGGATTATTTTTTAACCCTTTCGTAACGGCGCACCCTTGTTTAAGATGCCCGTGCAGGACGGAAGGTACTCGAAGGCAGTCACTCTACAGGATGGTGGTTTCGCATTGCTAAGCCTAATTTTATAAAAAAATGTCAGAAAAAAAAGTTTCACTTCTAGCATCGTAATTTTTGGTATCATTTTAGATTACTACTTGAGCTCTTATATTAAAATTAGCATTTAATAACATTTTTTTCTTTATTTTACATGAAAATATATTTAAAAAATTGCTTATCTTGTAAAATAATTTCAGAAGCACTATTTTAATTATTCCAAAGTTTTAATTTATAAAATCCATCAATAAAGCTTTAAATTAATAAAACAATAGAATAAAGACTTTTTACAGTAAGAAGTGACAAAATTTAAAATTAAGACTGAGGGTGGTAAATTGCGAAGCACAAAGAAGTATCGCTTTCTAACTTTTTAGAAAATGAATCATCACTCTCATCAGTGTTAATAAATGGTTCATTAAACATATGAGTGTATTCTTCCTCTGAAAAATCCTTCACTCCATAATAGACTGGAGGTGAGGCTTTCCGAAATAAAAAGAGAACCCGAAATATGTCTGAAGGCAATGCAAAATGTAATAGAGCTCCACATAGTGAACCTAAAAGACTGTACGTGCTAGAGGAAAAAGTAGAATAAAAAAAGGAATTGGATTTAAATCAGACACGCAAATGTTTATATTAGCACGTGGCGATTTAAGAAGCCCACCTCCATTTACGCCCTCCCCACCTTTTCAGCAGTTGATGAGTAAAATACCAAAGTCAGGCAGAATATATCAAGGTCAGGAACATAAAACTGTGCCCATTTCAAAAGTAATGGACGTAGAATGCCATCTAGTGGTCTTCAGAAAAAGGTTCCAGCTTAAAATGCATATACGCATCATCTGTCCTTTGAATGCAATCTCTAGTGATGCGTGGATGGGACGCCCGACTGTGAGAGACGTTCATGGGGAATGCATATATGGCACGCCCGTCCTGAAAGGGTTAACAGGCTTATATTGTCTTTAGGAGAGATATTTAGATTTTCCTGTACTTCACAGTTATAGAAAACCAACATAAAACTATTGTGTTGCATTAATACAGGGTATTTTAAAAAAAAAAAAAAAAAAAAAGAATCATCTGATTCTAAAAAATCATAATTATTCAATTTTTAATCCGTTTTGATCGAATAATGTGTAGGTAGAAAGAGGGAAATCTTGAGTTTTATGCAGTTGGCGACAGGACGTGTAATGCTATTTCTTCAGCCCCTGTTTAAGTGTTTGTCTAGACAACGACTGCACAACAGAAATCATTTTGTATTCTGTGCTTTGCAAAGTGAGAGTCCATTAACAACTGTTCAATGTGATTCACCTTTAATTGGGTTTGTAAAATAACTTTATGATTAGTCATATAATATAAAATTAATCTTAAGTTTCTGTGTTCAGTATTTTTCATAATATATACATTTCATATTGGGTATTTCTTTTTGAAGAATCCTGTATTTTATACGTGGAAGTATTAAACTTATGCAGATTTCACTATGTGTAACTGTGACTGAAAAAGTATTCAACTTGTTCATATTCCTTTATAACAAAAAAATAGAATGTATTGGAGAAGGGAAAGTATAGTATAGTACTGCTGTGATCCATGCTAGTATTTAATTTAATCTGTTGATTAAAATATTAATTCGACCTTCATTTGCTGCATTAGTTAGAAAACATGATTATGGAATCCTTCTAAATTTTAATATTCCTCCATAAATATAAAGCACGAGTTCATTTACCAAATTATTCATTTATTTCATATGTTGAGAAACAAATGCACATTAAAAACATAATGATAGTTTAAGAAAGTGTCTGAATTCAAATTCATGTAAGTAGACCCCATTTTCCTCATATTTTACTTTTAAATGTAGTAAATAAATGTAGTTTTAAATGTAGTAAATGTCAGTTGCGTTTTATATAGATAATACAGTACAAAAACTTCAAATACTTTATCTTTCATATACACGCATGGGCCAATGAATTAGAAACCTTTGAATCCATGCTAAGGATGAAGTATGCAAATTTTTTTTATGACATGCGTTGTAGTTAGAAAGCTACGACAGTCAAAAGTCTTTAATCCGGACTCGTTGGGACTTCAGCGATTTCGGATTATCAATTTTTCCGGATTATAGATCATTAGTTTAAATCTGGTAGGATTGCAGGCAGAAATTATAAAATTAAGAATATGAAACGGTAATTTATGAAATAAAGAACAATTATGATCTAAAGGGTATCAAAATTTACAAAAGAAAAGCTTAATATTTATTTGTTTACTTTATTAAACATTTCTTTCAATCTAAGTTGTTAAGTTGCTTCATTTTATGTGATAATACTTTCTCTTTAATTCTATAAACAGACATAATTTCTTGCTGAGATACAAAGTTCCGCTGTTCAAGTCCTGTAATTGCTGTGTCGAAAATACCGACTAATTTGTCAATCGAAATTTTTTCGTTTTCAATAACCTCTGTGTCTCTTTCTTCGCTATCGGAAGCGAATTATAATGACGAGGAATTTGATTTAAATCATATCAAAGACGGAGTACATCGAGATGAAATACTACATTTAGTAAGGAATTATAAGCCAAATAAAATAAAAACATCTGCCCTGAAGATAAGGGTAGTGCTGACAGATGAACTTCCAGTTCATTGCGCTCCACGACGTCCCCCCCCCACACACACACGCAGAGCATCAGGAAATTGATAAACAGATTTCGGAATGGTTAGATAAACAAAGGATATGCCTTTATCCATTTTTTGCAGCGATTCCACTTTTTGTTTAATGGACTTCAAAACATACTTTCTCTTTGTAGATCCTTTACATATTAGTAAATATATATCAGAAATTCTATTTGACATAATCGAAAGTTCAAGCTTACTTTTATAAAATTGCTCTAACAGTCTGCAAAAAAATAATAAGCTGAATCCAATTCGAAGATTAAGCAATCTCCAACTTTAACTGAATTAGATAATTTTAGCTTAGCTTATACCGTTCGTTATACATTAAACGTGCATTCGTAAATGTATTTTGCACATGCACACACGCATATTCGCCGCTGTAAAGGTCTTACGTGCATGCGTCAATGCGACGCATGCGCAGAAAGTTTGTAGCTTTGAGGTCCAGATTATAGATCATTCCGGGTCCGAATTAACGACTTTTGACTGTATAAGTAAGGTGTAAGGGTGCTTTTCAAGATGAATGAAGTAAAATGGGGAAAACGACAGATCTTTCACCATTTGAAAAAGAACTTATTGATGGTACCTGTTTATCAGGGGCCTCGATTTCAAAGACAGCAAATCTCACTGGGTTCCAAAAGCAGCCACATCAAAGGTTTTCAAAAGTTGGAATCAGAACACACAGTCCTTCTCCAGAAGACTGCAGTTCGAGTACTTCAAAGGGAGTGATCGGCGATGTCTCTGACGAATTGTACGTCAGAACAGGGACTCTACTGTACTGCAACTGGTACCAGATCGTCAACCAAGACTGTTCCCAACAGATTTCAGCTAGAACCATGCGTAGAGAATTGCAGAGGATAGGAATGCATAGTCAGGTGCCTGTGAGAAAAACCACTCATTTCTGCCCGACATGCAAGTATTTGTTTGCAGTGGTGTTGGGAAAGAAGACACTGGACATCTGAGGATTGGGAACAGGTAATGTGGTTGGATGAATCAAGCTACACCTTATTTTGCACTGATGGAAGACATAAAATTTGGCGAGAACCCCATGAAGCCATGATCCATTTCCTACTCGCACTCTGCAAGGTCTGGTGGGAGATCATGATATGGGGCATGTTTGCTGGCATGGAAGGTGCCCTGTTGTCCTCGAGGGGAACAAACGCATGAGTACCTAGATATATGGTATAGCAAGTGCCCCTGAACCTGCCTTTTTCCCTTCTGGCGACGTATACTTTAGGATGATCCTGCACCGCCCATCATGCCAGAAGGGTGCAAATGGTTCGCTGAACGCGTCTGATTCAACACCTGCTTTCGTACAACATACCCAGATCTTAATCCAAAAAATTGTGGGTTGTGAAAGATGCATGCATAGCATCTGTATTCATCGATTTACAAGTCAAAAATTGCATAGCCAGGGCAGGTATTTCTAGATTAAATGCACGCTAGACAGATGGCAGAGTTGCACACTACCTGAAAAAGGGCAAAGTCAGGAATTTGAAAATGACAAAAAATGTCAGAGAAAAATCAGGGAATTTAAATATTTAGTCAAAATTGGAAACTCAGGACTCATATGACGATCCCCCAAAAATGATTTTACGCATCCTCGAAGCGATATTTCTTGGCAAATGATGTATCGGTAGCGTCTTGAGCAGCTGCGTAGACCAATTTTTTGCAGCTTATTAGATGGCTTAAAAGCAGCGCAACTGGCCAGCGACTTTGGTTGCCGTAACCTCGAGAATCGAGAATTGCCGTGCAGTCAAGAAGAATGAAGGAAATACCGGCCCATCAATATAAGCAAAATCAGTTAATCTAGTATACAGTATACTGGGATTGGGAATGATGAGTACTGACGAGGCATTTTGGTGTTGAAGGCAATGTCAAAAGGCAAGGGCCGTACAAGATTAGATGGACTACAAACTCTTTAAACCTTTTCCCCGGCTGTTCGAAGAACGCCTTATTTTTTTCTTGCAGAATAACAATATAAAAAAAAAAAAAAAAGAGTATCAGTCCGAGGCACCATTATAAATTATTCACCAAAAGACCTTGGTATTATTTCAGTTTTTCTTTAACTTTTAATGTTGTTATATCATTTATGTGGCTCTTCCTCAAATTTATATTATAGATTATAATACAGTACAAAGTCTTGATTTGTCAGACTCACAATTCCAGATTGGGATTTTTTCCGGA